TTTTCAATAGACAGATGCTTTACTACCTCAAAGCATATCAGAACTATATAGTCTACAGAACTACACAGAAGAGAGTCATAGGAGGAAAAATCCAAGGCACTTTGAAAACCTTTTTTATTTTGTATTTCTGACACAGTGAAAAGAAACTAAAGGAAGATGTTCAAAGCCATTTGGAGATGTGTGCATGAGGCCAGTTTATTGTATAATTATCTCAAAATTCTGTTGTGCTCTTTCATGCCTGTGAAATTTCACATAATAGAGAAATGATTAATTCCTACAACATACCATTGTTTCTCATTCCATTTTGGTGGATTTGTTTTTAGCAGCTGATATGAAACACTAAAATGGCTGTTCTTCGCTAATTACAACAGAAATTCTGAAGACAAGGACATTGCAGTAATATGAATGTGGTGAGGTCTAAAGGACAAATCTCTTTTCTGGTAGAGTTCATATAATGAGGAAAAATCTATGAGAGTGGGGCAGAAAGAAAAAGACTGATATTGTTACATCTAATTTAATAAAGTGAGAGGACAAAGTGAGGAGATTTTAAAACCAGCACTGCAGAGCACAGTGATGTGCTGTGGAGAAGATTTATGGTTTGATCTAAGGTTAAATAGGGACATAAATAAGCCACGTTTTAGCATCATCGGGAAAATAAATGGTTGGTTATCTTAAATATAAGTACTATCAATTTTACTTACATTATCAGACCAAGGCCCTGTATCCTCTGGGCATGATCCTTCCTATAATCCTAAATCACAAGTTCTGATATGAAAGTACCGACTGATTCTTTTCTTTTCTCTCTGCAACACAAATCAGAAGTATTTGGAAACTGTAAAAATCAATGTGAGAGGAGAATCACACCCACAGTCTTTGCAGAAACGTACCTGGCTATATGCCATACGCACACGCTCTTTGGATTTTCACACTGCCTCTCACTGCTTTATGCTGGGCATAAATTATTTCAAAAATTCATATCATCCTCACTGTGAAAAGGGGTCTTGCTCCCAGAGAGAAAAAACAGAGCTCTGATTTGAGTAGCAGCCGTCTGTGACCAAAAAGAGAAGAAAATACCTACATGCACATTACAGCTAGCTGCAAGATGCCTTCAGTGGTGAACTTGTTACTTATACACACTTACAGACCTGTAAGTACCAGTCCCTACATTTAACCCCTCTCTGATGCCCACTTCCTTCTCAATCTATTGTCCTTGCTTTGCACAGTCCCAACCTGCCTTCCATAGTATCTAGATCTCCCTCTACATATTCTTTCTCTCCTCCTCTCCCTGTTTTCAAAATATTGTTTTTTTACTTTTCTGGGAAGAGTAACAATTAGCAGCCTGACTTCACTACAGAGGAATAAAGGGCAGATTTAGATAGCAAAGAGAAGTCGAGGAAGACAGCAGTGTCAGTGCACGTGTGCCAGCTGGAGAAACAGGGACAAAAGCAAAAGGCAGGGATAGGAACTAGGGGTCAGAGACAATAGCCAAGTGACAACCATGCGGAACAGGGGCCTTGCAAGGACAAGGACAGGAACCGGTGAAAACAACAGCAACAAGGGCAAGAGGAATAGGCTGGGAGAACAAGCGGTTTATATCCTGAATAATACGTTTCACCAAGAACTTTAAACTGAAGCCTGGATCCCCTCAGTATTTCTGTGTTTCTAGCAACTAGTTCTGAATCCCACAGGCAAAGTCTGAGGTGTCTTGCTTGGGTGTCTATGTGGTAGCAGACCCATTTAAACAGGGGAGACCTGTGCTTTGGGTCTAAGGATACCAACCTTGCTGAGAACGTATGTGCAGACCGCCGTGATGTTCAGTGCGCTAGAATATACCTGCGTTTTGACCTTTTGGGCATAAAAATGGAAACACACATGGAAAAAAGTATCAAAACTAGGTGTCCGACAGTTTTGATTTAAAACTGCTTTTTGATGAAAAATAACACCTAAGAATTGAATGGTCTTTAGCTGAAGACCTAATTTCTGTTTGGATACGCCACTGTGTGGAGTTGTATTCTGGATGCCAGTTATGCCCAGCATCTTCTCAATTCTCCTCAGTCAAAAGGACTGCATTTCCCGGCATTGTCAGAGCATCACAGAACAGCATGATCTCTGCAACCCCACACCAGGGAGGGAGACCATAGGCCTCATGAGAAGTAATGTGTTTGTGGATTCAGACTACATGAGAAAATGGAAAAGTGAAGCACGTGCCACTAATTATCAAATTGTTTTCCATACATCCAGTTTGTGATATCTGGAATCTGACCTGTCTTTGCTGAGCTATCATGATTGCAAGTTAGCCCAATAAGAGACATCTTGCAAAACAAACAGGACTTAAAAATGCTGATGGCATTGACAGCTGAGCTCTGGTGCACCTTGTTTGGCAAGTTTAAGACATCCCTGCAGCACAGTGGACAAAATGTGACCTTAGCCACATCGCTGTAAAGTCTGGAATTTTAGTTTAAATCACTAACGAAGGTGTCAGAGCAAAAGTGCTGCTCTGTGCGGGGTAGCTTAAACTGCAGGCACGCATCCTTCTGTCAGTTCGGTTGGGGAGAGTAACATTCAATTAAAGGGGCTAAACAGACATTTTGGAGTAGCTACATGTTAGACTACTGCAGTGAGCTTTATGTATGTTCTATGGAAAATCAGTCCTAAGAATCATAAAGCAGGCATTTATCATTAGTAGACTTTTTTTACCCTGACCAACATTAAGCTCCTAGTGCCTTTGTTCCCTATGTACAGTGGAGATAATAATACTATCTTCCATCACAGGGATGTCATAAAGATGAATTCATTAACATTTCTAGGTAAGTCAGATATTATAGGGGAGAGCGTCACAGAAAAGGTAGCAGGAAATGTTCTTAATTTATCAATTCAAGATATAAATGAATACAGATCACCATGTTTGGAAAGAGGAATAATAGTAAGTGATGTATAAATGACATATAAGCATTGTGTATCCTCTTCATGAATGAGGAAAGGAAAAAATTGCCTATGAATACATAATTAAAAATATATTATAATGTATTTGCATAAGGAAATGGGATGGGACACTTCTATTCTGGCATTACCTAATTATTTATGGCATAAATTATATCTGTTTTTAATGTATTTTTAGGTAATGTCCTTAAAGGATAGCTAAGATCAGTAACACGTTTCTGTAGTTCAATTCTAAGAACCAGCGAAGACTGAGGGATTTATACAGTTAAGAGAGCTTACTCCATAACCGAAAGATATAATTGCAAAAGGCTTCAGCTTCCATTATCACCATGTCATAACTAGGTCAGACTAAATAAAGCAGTTGATTTAGATTTTAAAGGATAGCTATGAGTTTAATATGAATGAAGGCTAGATAAGGTTGCCAACTGAGAGAAGAGTCACTCAGAACCAAAGTAAACTGTTTGACTTTTCAGTTGGCAAAGTTCTGCAGTAAACCAGCACAAAGGTTTCTACAATAGTAATGATACGGCAGCAAGATATCCAAAGAACCTGAATGTGAAAAAAAAAAAAAGGATTATAGTCTAGATTATATGCTAGTCTAGAAAGAAAGAAAATATTCACAAGCTTTTACAAATAGCTGTCATCTGATAATGAGGGGGGTTAGAATGAGAACAAATAAACGCATCCACTAATAAGCAGGATAATACAATGCCTGTATCCTTAGCAAACGGAATCAATATTTTTGCTGTCATGCACTCTCGGCGTAGAAGGAAGAGGGTTTTGTTCATGTTTTTAATTTACAATAGGAATGGTTTTATCTGCATTTAGTTTCATAAAAGCTAACAGCACTATTATCTTTCATAATCAACCTGGGCAGAAGTTGCATCATGATAAATGGCAAGAACAAATCTTCTTGACTCTAATCTACAAAGCATTAAAATACAGATCAGATTGTCTTAAAAATCAGTCCCCAAAGTAGCACGTAAATACAAATTGGCAAAAATTCCTCCACTGTAAGCTCGTTTAAAACAATTGCCACAAAGTTTGATAAGATTTAAATCATGAAAAAGTCATGCGAATCTGGGAGGAAAACTGAAAATAATGAAGAGGCTTAACCCAAATATTAAGAATGGCTATATTTGGCTATTTCCTGAACAGAAAACTTGAAAAACAAACTAGCTTTGTGGCAATAGGAATGCACCTCCACACATCTACTTCTAACAAACTGGATTTGCAATGGCAATGTGCTCCTAGAACTTCAATTGTGTGTGTATGCTTCTTTGAGTTTGACTTTTCAGTCTCCAGCTCTGAGCTGTTATAAAAATACTGAAAGATCTTCAGGATCTTTCTGGCACACTTGGAGAGTGCCAGAAACTGTAACAGTCAATGCTAGGTATATCAATGCTGCAAGGAAGTGCCAGCGCTGCTACATTTGAAATCAAGAAACTTCTTATAGTGAAAAAATTAACTTTTCTCAGTTTTCAAAAGTCCGCTTGCCTTGACATTTTGCGTGCCTTATAAAGACGCAAAGTCAGAGTAATGATCCAAATTTGGCATCACTTGTTCAACAGACTCCAGACATGCAGCCCTGTCAGGAAAAAATAAAATAAAATAAAATAAAAAAGGGCATTTCTTTAGATTGGCAGATTCTAATACTGTTTTGGTGCAGAGACCCTACAAATCAAGCAGTGGCTTTAATTAGCCCCAAACATCATTTGGCATTTACCACAGATGGCACCTGCTGCATACTGCAAGAAGCAACACCGAAAGGGCCCCCAGGCACATGTGGTATTCTGTGCTGGCCAGAAAGATTTCCTACCTGCGACTGAGGTCTTCAGGGGAACAGGTACTTACCGCTCCTTCTGGCCAGCAACCAACCTGTTTACCTTACCATTGACCCTTGGCAAAAATAAGGTAAATAAAAGTGACACGTCACTTTATATCTCTCAGAGGAGACTTTGGGGTGAAATTCGGAAGCGTGGGAGCCGTGCAGCAGACATCTCAGACGGCACACAGTTTTCAAAGAGAGAGGAAAAAAACATCTGCTAGGGAGGTGAGAAATGACAGGTGGCGAGGCAGCACTCAGGAAGAGAAGCGACACGCCGAGGCTGTACTTCTCTGACAGGGGCAGTCGGGCCGTGCTGGCACTTCCAGGATTTCCCACGGCACCCGGCCCCCCGCAAGGCCGCTGGCCCTGCCGCGCAGGTCGGCAGCGGTAAACCGGCCCACTTAACCGCTCTGTGACTGAACCGGGAACAAAAAGAGAGCGAGATTTCTAGTGGAGACTGAGCGACAGCGTGGACGCACCGCGGCTTGTGCAGTCGTAAGGCTTTTTAAAGACTTCCGACACGGAACTGACCGGCCCGGCGGCCAGGAGAAACACCGCCGGGAAGAATTTGGGGACGTGACAAGGTTTGACGCCTCCTGCAGGGAAGCCTCTGCGTGTGAGAGGAGGGAAACGACACCGCCGCGGCGGCAGAAGGCGCTCC